CGATCAATGACTTACCGGAAGCTATCAATTCAGACGAAAATATACATCGAAAGAAAATGTGCCACAAATTCTATTTATCTGTTAAATAATTTTTATCCAAGTTCACATGAGAAAGATTGGATTCTGGTGAGGAACATTCTTCTCGTGACAGTGAGAAAATGCTTGCGATATAGTTTGGCATGAAAAAAATGCTTTCTGCTTTTTTTCTGCTTTTTCAGTTTGAGTTTTCTGTCATTTTCTGTTTTTTCTGAGACATTTTCTGCTTTTTGAACATTACAAGGTGGCAACTCTGAAATTTTCATCAAGCATTCCATTTCTCGGGTGATTACTGATGAAATGAAATTTGAATATCATTCATTTGAGAAAGATTTTTTTAGTGATGAATACTGCCAAGATCTAACTAATTGCATATTCAAGCTACTCAAAAGTCCCTATGTCCATTAGGTTTTTCAATAGATATCCACGTCGTTCTAAAATGTCTTTTTTTATTGCTATTTGTTCTCGTTTATATTAAAGTTTCTCAGACTTCGCAGATTTTTAGAAAAAACCATTACACAAATTATCTATCGACTGCAGTATCTATTGAGAGCACTACTTGTAACAGCAACGTACCTTTGATATGATTCAATGAACTTCCCTCTAAATTTTTTATTTGACTGACACGTTCAACAAAATCATCTAAACTTTTTGCTTTATCCACAAATGGTTCGATTAATGCATACGTTATAATCCATGAATTTAGTATCATATTATTTAGTTCTTGTAACTGAAATTGTGTCGTTAAATTGTCTCGTAATTCTTGAAAACGGAGTCGACCCTGCTCAGAATAGAGATCAGCTTTTTTCATCATTTCAATAACATTCGAACATTCGACTACTATTTTAATCAGTTGTAAATGTTGATGAGTCAAAGCTCGAAAACATTCTTGTAAAATCCTGTAAGCTTGAGTTATATCTTTTAATGAACAATTTTCATTACCGCTCAAGCGTTTTAAATGAACAATTTTTTCTTCTTGGTTGTCGGACGGTAAAAGATCGAACTTTTCAATACATTGAATAATCACATTAGTATGACTATAGTATTGATAAACTTGTAACCATTCGCAAACTTGTTCAATTTCTCGTTCGATCGGTTGATTCTTTTGACCTTGTACTAAATTAGCTAACATATTGAATGACTTATAATTCTTTTCATTTGAACTACTTATGAATAGTTTTTTGACTTCGTCTCGAATATTAATATTTTTATCATAAAAAACAGCTCGTAATTCTGTCATAGCTCGTAAACTTAGATCACCATTTAAAAGTTTATTTATAAAATCAAATACTTCATCGAGTAATCGACTAAGATCTTCTTCGCCGAGATTTTCAGAACTTTGTCCATAATATTTATTAAAATATATATCGAATATACCATGAAATAAATGACATGTTGATAAACTGCCAGACTTAATGCGATACCAGATAGTTATAGGATACGGATTAGCTTGATTATCAATGATAATTATTAATTGACCACCTCGCTGAGTTTCGAATTGACCATGAAGTACATATTTATTAATAGCAACATTTTCTTTTTGAAATAATTGGATATAACGATTATCCGCTCCATAGGATCGAAATTCAACAGTAATATTACATGGATAATTACCACTAACCAATGACCATTGAACTTGCTGACGATCATCTATAGAAATACTGTGTTCACGAGTTTTGTAAGCTTCTATTACTAGTTTATTGTTCGGTTGAAAACGTTTCAATTCTGTAAGAAAGTTCACCGTATTATTGCGATAATCTAATGATCCTTGGTCAAGAATTTGAAATGGGATTATACAATTGAATAGTTGACATAGACGTGCAAGATCTTTGAAAGGTTGTAAACTTTTTAAAGTACCAGCAATAATTGATCTCATTTCAATCAAAGTCATTTTAGGATCATCACGAATTCTTAAAAGATCAATTAATAACTGACTCGAACCAGTAACATTATGGGCCTTTAGCCAGTCAATAATAGGTTGAAAAATATCTATAAATTGATCAAACCAATTAAACCATTCATTTATCTGTTTAATAAATTGATCGAAAAATTCTTGTTTGGATTTTGTATTCACAATATCTAGATTTTTCGGTTTGGGTAAAGCAACAATATTATCAATATTTGGCTTTGTCAATGGAAATTCATATTGTTGACGATCAACTGCCTGGAACGCTCTATACACATCCACCAATGGAACAAAACAACGAACGATCGAATCAGACAGCAATTCACGATATAATGAGCATTTGCCTAAGCAAAAAAAGAATAGTTTAGTAAAAACTATATCGGAGCACAAACGATTGGTAGACCGTTCTAAGTTCTTGTATGGTAGAAGAGGGGAATTGTTACCATTGATACTTACTAGCAGTGATGAAAATGTAGTGATGAGTCCACCAAGTCAAAGTCTAGGGATTTTCTACAGGTCACTTTGTTTTCTGAGTCTCACACGACAGCTTATGCTCCAAAATTTTCACTTTCTGTGCTCGTAAAATTCTTTCTAGAGTGCTAAGTCGAATGTTTAAAAAAAGTGTCTGTTAGAATTCTTTCAAAGAAGTGCAAAAGGAGTTCTATGAAGATTTCTAGAGAAACTGCACTCTAGCTGCCTTGCTTTTAAATGATAAAAATCTGAAAATTTTATCACAGATCCTTTTTTTCATAATAATAGCTTTTTGACCATCATCTTCTTTTTTTAAAATTGTATTCGCATAAAACATGGCTATTAGAGGCTCAAATGGACTTTTATCTTCTTAATAACAAGGATATCGTTAAAGCCTTTTCCGCTGTTCATTCAAATTTCTATCATCCGAAAGCTAAACGATTCAATTTTCAAATTTTGTTCTATGGCTTATCTTCAGCAGAACGCTCAGAGTTATTTGTCTTGAACTTTATGTAATCTAACAATAGGATTTAATCGAGAAAATTGATATTAGGTCTTCTGTATAATGTTTATAACGGATGTAGTAGTCGTTTGACTCAAAATTTAAGGTTAGTTTCTTCAATGACATTGCACGAAATTGAAAAGAAAATTTTAAGGAACTGGAGAGCTAGATATGCTGGCATAGGTGCACTATCCGATAATATTTTGATGTATTGCGAGTTTGTATCAAGCGGGTTACAAGATTGAAGAAACTTTGAAAATTAATTCCAAAGATATGTTTGTCATTCACTTCGAGGAATGAACAGAAAAGTTGTATGTTGATCGTTCAATATAATGGAGTTCCACAATTTTAAAAGACTAATAAAAAAAGTCCAATAGACATTGAAGGAAATATTTGTATTTAAAAGAGCAAAACATGAAGACAGGTTTACAATACAAAAACTAATTAGATAAACTCGTAGTATCTATGCTAATATTTTCAGGAATATGATTTAAAACAAAGTAGACAGCTAGCGTAGAGATGTTCTAGAAGGTAACACATTGCCTCATTATGGAGACCACTTAGCGAATTTTACAAATTTTCTTAACCCTGCAGTTATGTACACTGGCTCATATTCCATCAGCTAAGAAAACTAGTATAAACACTAATACGTTTTCAAAGAGTCATCAAACAATCAACCCTATCTGCATTCTTATTCGACTATCGTCAAGATTCTCTGCAAAAAGTAACGATCATGCTGATTGTTCAATAAAAATCAGCGCAAAACGTCATCATCTGGTATCTTTACAGCTATTAACAAGATGAATTAAATACTTTTATTCAGAATATTCTCTGTACATACAGATACAGAGCGTGTGAAAAATTTCTGAACTGAAATTTGCGCTTAAATTGGATACAGTACAGCATGAAAAGCTCCTAGCAAGTAACGGTTCATTGATGATTCTTATTTTAGCAGTCAAAATAAGTTTCACTTTTGATAGGATTAGGAACTATGTTCGATTCAACTCGTCTTTTCGCCATAGACTGATAAAAGCAAAGCATGAGCAGTCAATAGAATACAAACGCTCACTGATAAACCTGCTTGAAAGAATGTTCTAGACAGTAAACAAGAAGTGAATCTATCTTTATCTTAGATGAATAGTTCCAATGAAAATTTAGGTAGAGGATAGAATATGAATAAAGCAATCAATCAAGAAGATTTTCATATTGAAATAAACTTACTTTGTAATCGAAGAATTTCATGAACAATTTCTTTACCATTTTCGATAAAATTATGAATTTCACGAGCAATATTCTGATCATTGTTGATTGCATTGTTGAGTTCATGATCAATGTTTTGATCATTGTTGGTAACATTGTTAATTTCATGATGATCTATTTCTATGAATTTATTTGCATTCATAGCTATAATAAAATTTATAATTATGTCAATATTCGGTAATAATAAGATTGATTTGGAATATTTCACAAGCACTAGTTCAAATATTTTCTTGACTAAAATAATTGTGAAAATATCTTTTTCATTATAAGTACTATGTTTAACATCTTTCATCCAACCATTAATTTTAGAGAGAATATCCATATGATTGTTGTTCAACATTTTTAAAAGACTCGAATGCACAATAGTTGACCAAATGTGAATAGCCCAGGGATTATTCTTGTGGTTCTCACATAAGTTTTTATAAGTGTCTTGATCTATTTTTAACCATATTGAAATAGAAGTAATGAGAAAATCTTTTACCCATTCATCATTAATAATTTTCTTGGGATCATATTTTTCGCATAGTTTCTCATCAAAATTTCTCAACGCTTGAAATAAGTGCACGAGTCTTTGTTTATGGGTTTTCTGATAGCTTTCAATTTCGAAGAGGCTTTTACGAATAAGAAATAAGCATGATCGTCTTTCTAATAGATCTGTGGAAGATAGCTGTAAACCAGCTTGTAAAAGATCTATGTATTCATTACGAGTGAGTTGATATAAATATTGTCGATTAGTGATCCATTTGAGAATGCAAGCATCGAATATTTTCTCGAACAAATTAATGAAATGTGATTGATAATCAGGTTTTATTTCTCCTAAACTATTCTTAGCTAGTTTTGCATGTCGTTGAAATGCTGTAGCATTAACTGATACAGTTCTCTCGATTATTGTTGGAATCAGATGTTTCTGAACGACTTTGTCGATAGCATCAATTTTAGATAAATGTAGAAACATATCCCAAAGATCGTCTGTGTTCACATTTGAGGAATAATTATAAAAGTATTGACCAAATAATTGATCTTGTGATTTGATCCGTGTAAAGAGTTCAGCAATATCTTTCGTTTCGTACCATTGGTTTTTAACACCATGACTGAATATTGAGTGGAATTGTTCAAAAAATAATGTCGGATCAAGATTCAGTGTGTGATTCCATCGTACAAAGGTTATAAATGGTGATTCTTTCGCATTTTTTGGAGGATGCATTCGCTGAACTAGATTAATAAGAACTGATGTATTGAATGGAAATTCTTTAAATGCTTCTTTATTATTTTGAAATGCCTGAATAAATTGATCCAAGGAGAGATTGTTTATTTTCACTTTCGATATTATATCGATCCACTGAAGATGAAGATGAACATCATTAATTAATTTTGAGGCTTGCATTGCTAATTTACTTAAAACGAAAAATTTGTTTAAGGTTTTCAAGTCGTCAATGATTTGGATCGATGAAAGATGTTGAGGAATATCCATTCTCAAAAGTATGTGTCTGTCTTCCACAAGAACATTCGGTTGCTGTCCTTTCGTTGTTTCGAATATTGACACCAATAAATTAAACAAATTTTGTTTGAGTTCTCGAAGTGGCTTGTAATCCATACTTGTCGAATACATATACTCTTCAATACGACGACAAGTATATAGATAGCTATCTATTCGATTTATTGAACAACTGGGGCGTTTTTTCGATGTCACATCAGCGTTTGTGCATTTTATGATATATTCTATATCACGCACAAATATTTTACGTTGCCTTGAACAATCTTCATCAAAAAAATTAAAATGTGTCAGAACTGACTCGAAAAATTTCATTCCAACAGCATTCGAGTGGAATATTTGCCCAAAATTAGTTGCAGATTCAGATATTTTTTCTTTGTGATCCGGTGCATTTTGGTTCAGAGGGATCGGGATGTAACCACCAAGCATATTTGTTAACGTTACGATTAAGATCCACTATACAGGTAAATCTAAAAAAGAATATAATTCAAACAAACTAACTGTCAAATAGAAAGACAAAGTGGGCGGGAGTGCGTGTTGGATCAGGCAAGTATTCTATGTATGGGAGAACTATATTTACATCCAACACTCAAACCTACTCTTATACTGATCATTCGAGAACTGCAGAATATTTCTATCTAAATGGAAAAACGTCCGATTTTCAAGGTCAAACAGATATGTGCGTTTATGAGAACTTGATGTGCGAGTGATAGTAAAGTCTTAGGCCATCGTAGAAAGATAAATGGGCTTCTATTAAACTAATTTTATGGAAATATCAAGGTTATGTGCACTTTGATTGTGGATACAATATCAATCTGACAAAAGTATATTTGTTTAAAACAATTCCTTACCTGTTGCCTAACAAATGGTGCAGGATACATGTTGATGAAATATTTTATAGTAGGTAGATAACGCTAAAGCGCTTATTTTTCAGCGATAAAGAAGAGAAAGCTCTTCAAACAGAAGGAAAGTAAATATTGAATTCATAAACAAGAGAGTTTGCCGGTACAACATCGTCGTGTAATTTTCATTATTTGTTTTCGTCTGCGGACACGAGAAGTACAGCAGAAGGCAAAAATAGATTTATAATATATAAACTGGTTGGGAGTAGATAAAGAGGGTGGTTGTGGGTGTGTGGGGGGGGAGGGGTGAGTCTTCAGTTTAACCACGTCCACACCAACACCTATATCCTCACGCGCGCCCCCACACCCACACCCACACCCACACCCACACCCACACCCACACCCACACCCACACCCACACCCACATCCACACCCACACCCACAC